TGGAATTTAATTAAGCAATGAATTATCATTTTTAAGCGGTTAGCTTCGCTAAGCGCTTTATGGCATGTGTCCGATTTTTATCAAAACCAGAAACTTTTATAAGGCGCTACCTATCGACAACGGAAACTTCAACAAAGCCTCTACCTAGTACCTATGATTTGTTTCTAACACATATAGCATATGTTAAATAAAATCAAGAATATCAAAACAACATAATCTTTCGGTGTTTATTTTTTTTTCTTTTTTTGTTTGTCAATGAAATAATTCTATAATTGTTGTATTTTAAAAAGTTTATGCATTTGGTGTCGAGATTAAATTTCCGTGACATCAGCTGATGGCGATCGGGCCCTGTGACGAAATTCGAAGTCAGCATGAAGTTTAGCAGATAACATTATCAACGCGTTAGAATTAAATTTTAGGAAGAAATGTATAGCGAGAAATATCATATTTGAACCCAATGCTACAAGAAAACCAGTAGGCATTTACGATTTATGTGTTAAATTTAAGCCTGAATCGAACAGGTGGTCAAAATGACGTTGGACACCTTGTGTATTTATATATAGAGGGAGTAGAATGTTTCGATATTTGGCTAATTTAGAGACTAACTGGAAAAAATTCAGGTGCCTGTGATTAATTATAAGGCACCCCTCATGAACAATAAATATTTGACCAAATTATGCCACTGGAAACAGGGAAGACGGGTTAATTACTGGCTAAAGGGGTTTAAGGTTATTACTGACTGCAAAACATCGAAGAATCTCTCGATCGAGTTTCATTTTCCAAAATATTAAAGCATCCCTTCAATTAACTTAGGTAATACTAGTACACGAAGAAAGCCTTTATATAAAAATACTGAATACATCTGTAAGTTGTACATGTATGGATTACTTCCATAATGAAACGTTTGTTTTCTTCTCCTTTTTCTCAATTGAAATTATTTAAAAGATGATAAAAGCTTTGTTTCCAGGGAAAAATTGATTTTCAAAAAGTGGGAATAGGTAGAATGAACCCACCCGCTGACCCGCAGTAAGCTTACTAAACTGAAGCTCTGTGAAATTGCCGTAATTAATTCTCTGCTCGTCCATCCGTTTTTCTCAGACTAGCCATTTTAAAAGATCTATGTACAGTACTCCAAATCAATTAATCTAAAGAATTTGATTTATCATTTTATTTTCTTTTAGAGTTGTTTGCTAAAGAGCCTTTACAGTTACCTAATTTAAGAAGCAATATAGCATGAAAGCCAATAAAATTTGCAACATCAATATATTTTTTTTTTCGTTCTGAGCACTTTTGGACGCCACTAATGGAGACAATTAGGGAGAAATTTTTGAAATTGAACTTTCTGTCTTTCAAACTGAAAATCGCAGGTTGATATTTTGAAACAAACATTTGTGACATCAGTCTGAGATGTTATTGGTTATACCATTTAGTTAAGTACTACAACATTCATTGTGTCTGCTTCTTCGCTGATGACACTGGAAAAAGATATGCATGCCTACTTTAATATCATCATTCAATGCATTTTTTTTTTGTTATTGTACACTGTACATATTCGATGAAAGCATGCTAACCGCTTTTCAGTACTTTCAGTACTTTGATTTGAAAGATGCAGTTTCATAACTGCAATGGTGTGTGCAAACAAATTGAGTTACGCTAAAGTTTGTTTGCGCACAAGCCATATTCCGAAAATAGTACACAATAAAATAGATAACAATAATCAAAGTATTATTATTTTTCAATCTAAAATCATAAACTTTATTTTGCAACAAAGAAATACAAATAAATGGTATAAAAGACCTAAAGTTTTTGCTTTGTTTAAACTGTAAATGTGTAGTCCATGTATTCATACGCCATACAGACTTCAGTAATTTGGTCTTGTGTGTTATGTGCATCTATCACTTGTAATTTTATTATGCTTTATATTATGGTCAAACAAAGTAAATGTAAATATTACAAAATGCAAACTGTATACAGAAAAATAAACACATGAAATTTCTCAAGGGATACGCCAATTTTTTTTTAAGAAAGATGGTACTGGAGAGGATGTTTGAGATGTATATGATCCCTAAAAATCCAAATTCCCTTTTTGTGGTCGTTTCTAAGTGGAAAATTAACTCTTAAATAAACTTAGTCTACTTGTATATGAAAACGTGGGGGAAATCATATTTAAGAAAAATTTCTATTCATCTATATTCTAAAAGATTAGTGTCGTATCGAAATTTTAAATCTCTCTTTCTCTCTCTCTCTCATTCTTCGTACTTTTTTTATAAAGTACAGTAAGTACTTCTTACTAATAATCGTGTACGGAATATTATTATGCGATCCTGCATGACAACTAAATGTATCACTAAATTAATTTTATATCGTAGATGAGATTGTTCGTGGTTTTTTTTTTTTTTTTTTGGGGGGGGGGGGGGGGGGGGGTTACTAGTAAGAATCACATGTCAGTGTTAAAAAATTGAGGAATGATGATACTTTGGAGATGGGAGCAAAATCTTTGAGACTCGTTGAGCCTCCAAACGTGCCCCCCTAATTCCAAGGACTAAAAATAAACTATCTTTACATTTTGTCCAATTTCCTATTCCATCACCCTATTAAAACACTTGACAAAAAAAGAAAAATGCTTCTATGTTAATTAATTAAAAATGTGCATGTACATGTAACGGTCTAAGTTGGACGTCTTTCAACGGAATGTCAATCGGATCTACAACCACGTGGTTTATTGATTTTTTTGTATTCACAATGTTACCTGAGTCTACAAATTATGTGGTAAATTGGAAAATTAAACAGGTCAAAACCAGGTCAATGACATGTGAATATCCGTGAAAATTGAAGAAAACTGTCGGAGTTTCGTACCTTTTATCAAAACGGGTACCATGAGCGCAGGCTTGCCCAAAATTTTCCCTTAGATATGTTGAATTTCCAACAGTTTTTACACATTCTGTCCTTTTGAGAAATTGGGGCAAGCATGCACTCACTATGTATTTAAGCTCTATAAATCGGAATAACTTTGAATAAAAATGGAGATTCTTGATTTGCATTGACCTCTCTTACAAAACACAGCCTCGCTCTTTAATTTTATTCACTTAAAATTTCTGTAATTTTGCAAAGTAGCGATTAAGACCTAGAAGAATTGTTTTATTAACTTTTTTAGACTAATTTTTATATTCTATTTTTGCGCAATTTACCGGGGGCCACTTTTTGTACATAAAGTGCAATCATTCTTTGGCACAAAGCATCTACAGGTGAAGGAGAACAAGAATTATGAATTTCATGATCTCTGCCCCCCTCACTGGAAGAAAAATTTCATAATTCGAATCCAGTCCATATCTTTCTGATAGATAAACTTGGTATGTCAATATCTTTCTTTGCAATTTTTTTTTTCAACGTGCGTAATTTTTTTCAATGTGCATAGAAAAGAACCCACCTTTTCGTTTAATTAAATGTGGAGCTAAATGTGTATATCAGGCGCAGATCTAGAATTTGTTCGGGGGGGGGGGTGAAGGATATATCAAAGGGTAGTTGAAGGGGAAAACAGTTGCTATAACGTAATTTTTTAAACATACATGTACTTAAATAACTCAATAGGTATCTGTTAGAGTACGGTTTTTAAAAGTGGGAGGTTAATTGATCAACCTGGGAAAAAGTACTTGAATGAATTACTTTGCTGTTTTTGAAAAAGAAAGGAAAATATAACTCCGAACCCGAAAATCTTACTATGTAAAGGGGGTGTGGTTTTATTTTGTACTCGCAACCGAATTTCCTCATATATTACATCATTAATCTTTCACGGAACATTTTCTATCGTAAAATCACACCCATCTATAGTGAGAGCACATTCTTTCTTTCTTTTTTTTTGCAAAGTCAAAGGTGAGGGGGGGGGGGGGTGCAACCTCCGCACCCCCCCCCCTCTGGATCCGCCACTGTATATATCGTATTAGAGCTTCCGTACATTGTCCTAGTGTAACAGTTAGCCGTCAAGTGATGTAAAAGTTAGCGCTTTTCGTAAAAGTCTACTAGTAGCAAGATATTTTATAGTGTCAATATCAGCATTTCCCAAGAGATTCTTTACTGTCAGAAGAAACTAGTTATTTTAAAATCAAACATGAATTGTATGTTCTTATTTGTCATGCAGTTATCTACCCCCCCCCCCCTTCTTATTTAATAATAAAAATGTACCTCTGTTAATTGTATTTCTATATCGAAGACGAACAATAATACACACGCAAAAAATTTTTAATATTACACGTATATCTTGTTCATAAAAACTGTTAAACATAGAAATATATCTTGAATATGGTTGTTTTTTCATTCAATGAGAATTTCAAATACCAATAAATCTTTTTAAATTATGAAATGTTTATACCATAAAGGCAACGAGAATAATTAGTTGAAAGGCTTAACATGCGTATCTTTTTTTAGAAAAAATCTTACTTTTAAATATTCTTTTCTGTTTCCACCTGTTCCCCATATCATCATAGTCAACAAAGATTTACATGTACCTACTGCTTTTTAAAAATAAATCAAATGTATAACACAAGAGGAGCTTTTTATGGGTTAGATTATTCATTAAAAGTGTAATTATGTGTTGCAGTGCAAAATCAACAAAATGACATGATTAACGTTATATACAGACAGAAAGAAATAGTTTTAGCTTTAATATACGTTTAATTAGTGATTATCTCAACTAATTTATCCATTTATCTATACGAGTATTTATTATTAATTTTTTTAGATGAGTTCTCCACACTGACTGATGACGAGGTGTTCGTGTTATTCTGTTTTCTGTGTTCTGATTCCGGTCCTCCTGACTTCACTGACATGGAGTGGCTGGACTTGCTTAATGATATACGACAAGTAGTGTACGGTAAAGAGAAACCTGTAACACGAGAAGAAACACATCAAATTATGGACAGACTGAAGTCCCGTGATTTCCTCTGGGAAGATAAGGACAGGATAACGAAGGACACAAAGGATGAGACAATGTATAGGATAGCATCAATAGACAATGTTATACCATTCATTTACTGTAGTTATGACACAGCAAGTGTCTACTTGAGATCACAGGGATACAACAGAAAGCCTGGAGAGAAGTGTGTCCGTAGTGTCTATGATTCCTTACTGATACGCCGTCTACAGATGAACATTCTGACTCACATCACCTTGGGGGACAGGATAATTTATGAGCTGTTAGTCCGGTTTTGTAAGTTAATATAATGTTATAATTTCATCATGTTTATCAATTTTTCAATAATCATGTCTCGATGATTTAAGATTCATTGTGTGTTTCTTTTAGTTTAAATTGGTGGCAAAATAATAGCATCTATTTAGAACATAGAATAGATGCATTTATTTTATGAGAAATGAAGTTGGGTTTTATGCAATGGTTATAAGGCGAAAACTGTCCATTATGTCAGATATTATACGACCCGAGGCGCGTTAGCGCCGACTAGAGTCTAATATCTGACATAATGGTCAGTTTGAGGCTTATTACTTACTTAAAACAGTTCACTATTGTCGAACACTTCCATTGTTAACTTATTGGACAGTCAGGTCTCGTTCTGCTTGGATGACTACCTGACACTGTTCATCAGGTTAGGCCAAAGAAAACCAGTTTTGGTTTTTCTTGTGTCTTTATCAATAGTAGGAATCATCGAAAGGTGTTTTATATCGATAAATATGAAAATTAACTTTGTTTAGTCTTATGTATCCGCATTGCGACATTTTTTATATATACTACGCATGCGTAAAAGTCAGTTCTACTAAATTTTTTTTTACAATTTATTCATTTTACAACACAATTACCACGGATGAAGACGTACATTTAATTTTGAAAAAAAAGACCTTCGGAAGCGGGTGTTTTGATGATGCCATTTATTGATTACACCCAGATGCCTAAGTTCAGGTTTTTACTGTGAAATCCGGATATTTATTTTTATGTTTCGGAATTTGCAAGAAACAGTTCCCGTGAAAAGGTAATTTTTGTAAAGCAATAGGATTTGAAGGAGTTTACTCAAACAGCTGTTTATTAAAGCATTTTCTATGAAATTGGGAGATTATTCCTGGTGTATATTTTTAGGTCACCTGAGTAAACTCAGGTGACCTATTGCTATCCGTTTTCGTCCGTCGTCGTTCGTCGTGCGTCGTGCTTAAACATTGCTTAAACAATTCTAGATTTTCTTTTCCTTTTCTTCTCTTTCTTTTATTTGGCGTTTCTTGGCATTTCACTTATTTTGTTGATCATGACGAATTATAGATCTTAAAAATTACAAAACAGAAGGGAAAACAACGACATGCATGAATAAAGTTAATGAGCAGTAGTATATATATTTCCTTTCAATAAAATGTGACCGTTCACGGTAGCCTAGTGGTAGCGCATTCGCTTCGTGATCGGGAGGCCCGGGTTCGATTCTCGTTCGCGGCGCCGCGTCAAACCTAAGACGTAAAAATAGGTAGTGACTGTTCCTTCGCCAAGCGCTCGGCATCAGAAGTGAAAGTCACGGGTCTTTCGGATATGACCTTAAAAACGTAGGTCCCGTGTCACGGTAGGCGCTGGCACGATAAAGAACCCTCACTGCTCAATGGCCCTGAGTGCCGAGTATAGGTCTAAATTTGAAGCCCTTCACCGGCATACGGTGACGTCTCCATATGAGTGAAAAATTCTCAAGAGGGACGTTAAACAATATACAATCAATCAATCAATCAATCAATAAAATGTGTATTTGATATTCTCGATTTTCTTATATTACAGTAAACACACCGTACAAAGAAATAGGGGGGAATCTAAGTGAACGGACGCAGTTATTAATAACGTTAACAGAACAAGGAGAGGCTGTACATAACGGAGGAAGATCACATGACAGTATAGATCACGTGACGTGGCTCTGGAGATACGGGAGACCTGACATCGTGAGATCCTGTATAGGTCTACATCCACACAATGACATTTACATCATTGACAACAAAGCTTACAGAAAACCAAGTAAGTATGGACTGTTACAACGCGAAATGTAATAACAACGCGAAATGTAATAAACCTGGATTATAACATTTTGCGTTATTATTTTTTGCGTTGAAATCAACGCAGAATGTAATAACGCAAAATGTAACAACACACTTTTGAGGATTATTACATTCGCGTTATTACATTTTGCGTCGAGATCAACGCAAAATGTAATAACGCAAAATTTTTGGATTAATACATTTTGCGTTGTTACATTTCGCATCGAGTTTAAGCAAAAAGCAGGAATGCAAAATGTAAAAACGCAATTTCTTTCGTCAGGCAGATTGAGTACAATTTTAAATATAGTGTAGTGGCCGATGAAAAGAAAATAAAACAAAAGGAAAAATAAATATACGCACTTTCTTACAATTAATAAATTTTATAATTTATTGAATTATTGAATTAGCTACAAATGTTTAAAATCAGTTTAATAAATGTATTCAAATTTTAGGTGTAGCAAATTAGAAACGTGCATCTGTGGGCGGGTTGTCGGGGATATTGGAAAGTGTGCTTTTGCTTTCTTTTATAGACAAATGCAATGAATTCTAAAAAAAAAAATTTATTCATTTGTACTGGCAGGTGAAAATGCATAGTGGGAAGATGTTTATTGACAATAATGATACCATACTGTCAGACAAGTAAAAACAAAATTCTACCTCTCTCTTTCTTTCGATCCTATAATAAAATGGATTGTTTCTGCATGACCACAATAATGCAATAAGAAACATATGAAGTAAACATTCCACCCTATCCCTGCCCCTCCTCGCTTGACACACATACACTTCCAATTTGTTAACCAATGTATACATGCCGAATATGCGTATCAAGAACTTTTAATGAACCTATGGTCAATCTTCGGTTAACTATGTGTTTTTGGTTAGAATTTTAATGAGACTATCAAAAATATGCGAATCTAAGTTAAATTTACTCTATATACATGTTATTAAGTACAGTGCATTCAAAATAACTAAAATCAGAGTCAGAAAAACGATACATTTAGATGTATTTATATCCGTAAAAGCCCTATAGTTGGTCTCATTGTTTTAGTTCTAAATATTTTAACAGCGTGTTTTCCCATGTTGGTTACAAATATTTATTTGGATCAATTGTATGATCTTTTTTGTTAAACGCAGTAAAAAAAATTGTTTTGTTTTATTACATATTGTTTATTACATTTTGCGTTGTTTTCAGTGCAAAAATATAATAACGCTAAATGTAACAACGAAAAATGACGTTAAACCCCTGTCCCACCGGGGCTGCGTCCTCACGGCGACTGCATGGCGTCCTAATAAAATGCAAAACGCCGAGGTGATCGCAGTAGAGTCTCCTACAGCGCCGTGACAACGCGGCGAGATCTCCACTGAACGCCGTAGGGTCGCGTAGGGTCTCCAAGAACGCCAGGGGACGGCGATCACTTTGAGCATGCACAAAGTACGCGCCGTGTGATCGCAGTCTGATAAGAACGCAGTAGAAACGTAGTATGATCGCCGTAGCAGCGCGGTGAGATCTCCAACAACGTAGCGGGAGCTCCGTATAACCGCCGTGAAGTCGCACATAATCACGGCACGAACGCAGTGATACTGTGGTTTCATCAATTTTCGTTGGCATCAGTTTTTGTGGATTTTGTAAAACAGACAGTTTCGAGGATACGTAATTTCGTGGACAAAAGCATTTCCTATACAAATGAATGTCATATTTTGTAATTCGATGAACATTTGAATTCGTGGATCTGCTCAACAACGAAATCCACGAAAATTGGTGCTTAACAAATATTGATGAAACCACAGTAGTAGACTGCGCTTCCATGGAGACCCCACGGAGATGTCGCGGAGTCCTTGGAGATGTCACTACGTTTCTATCGCGTTTTACGGCGCTTCTAATGAGATGTATCGTCGTGTGATTTTTTCGACTGCGATTACACGGCGACAGCACGGAGTTGTCACTGCGGTCATTGCGCTCCCACGGCGTTTCTACAGCGTCCGTTGGCGATCATAATGCGCTTTCACGGCGTTGTTAGAGCGTTGTCAGCCAACTCACAGAACAAGAGCCATTGGATCATATTTGATCAGGTATGATTTAAACGTATTTGTTGCACTAGGAGCATTTATGTGAAAAATAATGGAAGAGAAAATTATACAAGCACTTGTTCTGTTGTTTCAATTAAAATTTGTAGAAAACTTTTCGGTGTGTTTATTATTTTTTTTTACATTAAAAATAAAATAAAGAAAATCTAACAACACAACTGAACCGATGAAATTGAAAGAAAAGGAGTTTAATCATAAAACTATTAATAATTTAGTACTAAATTATTTAAATATAGAACATTTATGATTATTAATATTTCTTGGCATGATTAGAAGTCTTTTCATCGTGTAACTTGAATGTTTAAACAAAAATGTGTTACATTCCTTCTAAATAAATATCAAAGAGTATAGAACGCATTTTGAACGTATTGTGAACGCAGCCAGCGCAGTGAGAACGCCGTGAACACGAGGTGAAAACTCCTAACGCGCCGTGAAAACTTCTCGGAAGCGCAGTCAATCGCCGAGAGATCTCCGTGGGAACGCAGTAGAATGCCGTAGAATCGCGTCCGTCGCCGTAAGGACGCCGTGACATCTTAATATTGTGAAAAATTAACAGAAATTTGTGCAATTTCCCTGCGATTCCACGGCGATTTTTAAAATTTAACAACGCCTTAATGACTCCGTGTGAACGCAGTTGGTGTGACAGGGCCTTTATTACATTTTGCGTTGATCTCGACGCAAAATGTAATAACACAATATGTAATAATCCAGATTTATTACATTTCGCGTTGTTATTACATTTCGCGTTGTAACAATGGACTACAAAATCAGGAACACCTCGGACCGATTAAAATAGAGAGAGTATTAACGGCAAACGGTTATATTTGAGAATGACAATCAGAGAATTATTGGTACATGTAATCGATTAGTCGCATTTTTCCATGGATCAACCAATTAACGGAATGGATCAGCTTGATTTCAAGTTTTCAATAATGCTAAAAAATGCTCTAAAAGCAATTCAAAATTTGACATTATAAACTACAATGATCAGAATACATGTACTTTACATCTAATTTTCTAAAAGACAATTAAATTACCATGTAGTGCCATTAATGTTTTTTTCTTAAAGTAATGCATTACATTACCATTAGGTATACTTGAGGAAAGTTATTCATTACCATTACCATTACGTTTGGAGGTTTTTCAAAATAGAAATACAAAACTTGAATTTTTTTTTCATAAGCGTATCCACTTCCTTAAAAAAACTAAACATGATAAATGATAATTCAAATTCGATTCAAATATTTAAAAAATTTACTTTTTTATTAAATTTTGATCATTTGCAACCAAAAAAAAGAAATAATAAATGAGATACATATTCAATAATATTGATGACCTAAATAATATTAATATATCTCATATAAATAATCACAAGTGAAAAGGAATCTGTTTGACCGAGGCAGTCACGTGTCCGTCGTGTTCAGCATGCAACAAAACGTCTTTTTGACGACTCTGATGTCAAAATGCAACGACTGATATCGTTATACTATTGAGTCAGATTGTTTATATTGTTGATTGATTGTGTCAATTTTAACATGTAAAAAATATAAATATTTACATTAATGTTCTCATAGCTACGGTTTGTATGTTGCCTTGTGTAAATCACATGAAAGATTTTTTTTTCTGAAATGCGGCTAATGGTATAACTTATAGAGCTGTTTCATATTGTAATGTTCACTGCACTTTCTTCATATTTCCTGCATTGTGTTTGATTTGGTATAATAAACAATTTATTGCATGATAGTGAGGGAGACAAGAAAATTTCTTCTCCCATGAAAAGTCATATTACCCTCGGGCGTTGCCCTCAGGGAATATGATTTTTCGTGGAAGAACAAATCTTCCTGTCTCCCTCACTATCATGCAATAAATGTATAATGTCCATGTCCATTTAATTTTTTT